TATTTCCCCACGAACTGCCTTAGAGAAGGGTATAGTTTCTTAAAAAGAAAAGAAGCTATACTTACCTCTTGGACACCTACGAAAGGATTCCCTGTGCCGTGTTGTCGTTATAGAGTAAATTAAGAAGGCGTTACTCTGTAACAATAGCAATACATCACATTTGACATAGACGTAATAAGTGCTATATGCTATAAAGGTGTCATATGCCGTAAATAGTGCTGTATGCCATAAATAGTACCATATGCCGTAAATAGTATCATATGCCGTAAACAATACTATATACTGTAAACAATGCTGTATGCTGTAAATAATGCCATATGCCATATATAATGCTATATGTCCTAAAAAATATATATCGATCGATATGCTGTGTGCCGTAAATAATACTATACAAAAGGTAGTAAAAATGTTATATAGTATAAAAACATACTCTTGCTTTTCTATATATAATTACTTTAAGTAATTATCTTATAGCCAAAAGATTTGAATCGTGGGCAAAATATCAAGAAAAAAAAAGTTTTTTGGTAAATTATAATTCAATATTTAAACTTCAAAATTTAAACTCTTAAAAACTTATTATTACTTTTATAAATTTAGTTTATACAAATTAAATACAATTTACTAATTTTTATAAATTTTCAAATTATTTTATATATTTTATGCTAAGAATAGATATTAATTACTATATAAAATTTGGAACTAGTTCATTATCAAAATTATACTACCCGAATCAATTTATTTAGCAGAGTATTATTTAAAATCTGTTCTGTTTGAGTGTCTACTTGTTATCTATATCATTTAATTTTTGCAATTTGGATTCATGAGAAATTACCTGAGCCATTTTAATCATACTATATAAGTTATATAGTAAGTAAATATAATTTATAACTATCAATTATTTAGTTCAATTAGTATTATCTTACTGATATTTTAATCTATACTTATTATTTAATTTAAACTTATCGTGACTAAATTTCTTTTATTACAATCTATTTTAATTTACTTCATATTAAACATCACCATCTGAGCAAAAGGAGAAATATAGTTGGATTAGCCAAAACAATGTTCTTACAGTAATCTCAAAGCCGCTACAAAAGAATAATCAAAAGCATATTTCTAGATACAAAGATATCCTGCTTAGCAAAATCAGCAAGTTTAAATCGTTAAAATTCAGTAGTGAAGAAAGGGTATTATGTAGGTTATGGAGTTTGGAACCATTAGACAAATAGCTGATATTAGATCAGAACTTTAATATAGATTTGGCAAGTAATAGTTTGGATTTTAATATCAGTAGCAATAGAAATAACTTTTGGGTATACACAGATAGGTTATTAATTTGAGAAATGGATAATTGCAATATAGGTATTGGATAGGTACAGGTAGATGAAAAACAAGAAAAGTTATTATGAGAGGGTTTTGCAAAATTAGAGAATTGGCCATCATCGACAAAGCCTGAGCTTATTGCAATCTGGCTAGCTCTTTTCACTATTCTAACAAGTGGTAATATCTGGATCTTTTCAGATAGTGCAGTAGCGATCGCCAGTATAGAAAAAATTAAGAGTGAATGGAGATTCAACAGAATTTTCAAGAAAAAGAACTGAGACATTCTAATCAAAATAGCAGATCTTATTAAAGCGAAAGAGATTAACTTAGAACTCAAAAAGATTAAAGGCCATAGCAACAACAAGTGGAATGATAGAGCAAATATATTAGCAAAGAAAGCTATATTTTTGTCACACTCAACAAACATTTACTTGGATCAAAAAACAAGAATTTTATTTCTGCTATTTTGGGGTGATCATAAAATTAAAAAGTCAACCAGATCTACTTTTAAAAAATTCTTCGAAACCTGGAACGGTACAAACTGGCGATTAACAAAGTCAATTAGAGCCATAGAGCCTGAAACAAATAATCCTAAGTTAGATTGGCACACATATTGGAAAAGAATAAAGAAATTAAAAAGTGTAAAGTGTAACACACTGCAGAAAAGTAAAAAACTCGCAACTCAGTTAAAATGCCTCTTGGGAAACCTACCAGTGCTTAAAACCTTAGGGACAAGAAGACCAGACATCTATACAAGCAGTGATTGTATAGTATGCAATAACAGTACTGCAGAAACCCAAGATCACTTAGCAGTATATATTTACTACAAGGCAATTTGACAACGTATCGAGAACACAGCAATCGATCTAGTATAGTCTAAACTCACAAAAGATGAAAAATATCTTTGCTCAAAAAGACTACTTCATAAGATCTTAATCGGAATTACAGAAGCTGATAAAAGTGAAAAAAGAAAGTTGTGAATCAAAGGCTTATCTACTATTGACTCTTTTGACAGAATCAAAAATCTCTTAAATTCGACGAAAATGATTGCAAATTCAATAGAACTCACCACACATATGATCTGGAATGGTTTTTACGACTTTATATAGAAAAACAGATGCATTAAGATTAATGAATAGGAAAAAGAGCAAAATATAAAAAAGAAAGACAAGAGAAAATCGATTGACAATGAAAGTAGCATGCCGTCCAGCTCTAGAAGAAAAAAGAACAAAGATAGAGTTAAAAAAAAAGAAGTATTGTTAAAGAAAAAGGAGACGAGAAAAACATGGTGCAATGCTATTTCGAGTTGGATACAAAAGGGTGTAAATCCCTTTTAGACAAGCTCTTGAGGTGAGCTTTTTTTTCTAGCTTATCTATAAGCTAGTGTGATGGGTTGTACCTAGGTACCTTCATAGGCAACCGGGTGAAGTCAGGCTTTTAGTTAGTCTTAGAAATAAATGTATATAAATTGAATGTACTAAAAACTAAGAGGTCAAGTTATGGCAAGACCTGTCAAAGAAATAAAAAAAAAAAAAAAAAAAATTTACATCATATTTGAGTATAATTTTTAATACAAGAATTCTACTACAGTCTGTTTTATTTTTAATTTGATTGCCATTATTTATTAATTCGATATTAGTTTAGTTAGGGTTTGAGTCTAGACTAAAATAAGCTTTTTAATTAATTAAGTATTAAAAATAGGGTTCCGAGGTTCTCAAACCAAAATTGAGATTTTTACTAAATTCTAATTTATATAATATAAAGCTTATTTTGTGCAAATTTTATAACTAATTAACTTAATATTAAAATAAGCTATGGAAGTCCCGAAATTTGGCAGAAAATTTTTTTAATATCTAAAAATAGAATGGAAATGATTGACTATAGTAGATACCATCAATTTTGTATAGGCATCATTACACAAATTAATTTTTATCCAATGATAAAAAATTTTATGAAGATCATATCTAAAATTAGCAGAAAATCAGGGTTGAGTTGTTTGGGTTATACAATCTTTATTTACTGTTTACTCAAAAAAAAATTACTAGTCCTGTAACTTGATTTTCAAGACAAAAACCCCACATGTTATTTAGTTATTATGGTTATACAGATCAGGGGCATCAGGTTTTTTAAAATACTATTTCAGATTTTTTTACTTTGCTTCACTTGCACATATATTCTAAACTGTATTTCTTCTATTATAGAAGTAGAAAAAAAAAAGAGAGCGACTTTCTAATGAAACTAGTTCTGAATCAAAAGAAGAACCTAGTACAACAAATACTTCTAATTCACAGCCTTCAACTAATTTACAGTCTTTAACAGACATTTCTAATTCACTGTCTTCAACAAATAAAAAAAAAAAAAAACTAAACAATTTTATGAAGTATGAGACTATTTTAGAAGAAAAGTACAAAAGAGTAATAGATACTACGAAGCTACTTGTTATTATTGTAATACATCTTGGTCAAGAGGAAAACTGGCAAAATTAGAAGCACATTTAGCAAATGAATATAATAGTTGTCCAAATGATATATCATGATATTGGAAAGAAAAATTAGCAGAGAAAACTTCAAATTATACTCGAAAATCTAAAATTCTGTTTTATCAAATCCTATTTTACAAACTATAATGACATCTTATTTTATGTCTGACCGTCTGTTGCCAAAAGCTGTTGTTGATCAACTTGATCAAAAAATACTTAAAGGTTAGATAATGGTAGGAATTCCTTTTGATATTATTGAAAACCTATTTATTCAAGATATGTTTAAAGCACTTCAACCTGCATATAATTTATCATCAAGATCAACTCTATCAGATCGATTATTAGATGAAGAATTAGCATGGGTAAATAGAGCAATTGATAATAATTTAGATAAAGCTGATCATTTAATATTAGGTAAATTTATTATATATATATATACTATATATAGTATATATATTATATATACGTATATATAGTATATTAAATAGTTAATTTATTAAATCTAAAAACTTATTTATTTATTTATATGTATAATAAATAAAGTATTGGATGGATAATCAACACCAAAAATGGATTCGGTTTATAATTATATTGTTATAACAAATACCCAAAAAGAATATCTAATCAGTTTAAAGAATTATTCTGTGCAATTACACATGGGTGAATTTTTAGCAAATGAGATATTAGATATTATTGACAAGCTTAGTTCTGATAAATTTGTCACAGTAGTGACAGATGCAGCCTCAAATTGCAGAATAGCATGTCAAAAAGTTCAAGCAACATATCCACATATTTAAAATATTCGATATAGAGCTTACACAATAAATCTTATTGCCAACAATTTAGTTAAATTGAATAATATAAAAGTTTTAATTAATAATTGTGGAAAAATTAATAATTTTTTTAAAAGTTCTCATTTAGCTCATTCATTACTTACTAGAGGATTTGCAAATATGAAAATTAAGGGTAGCGGGCTAAAACCATAGGTAAAAACTCAGTAGAGATCACTATACTTAATTACTGATTTGATACTTCGTGCGTGACTTGTTTTTGATTGAGTAAACATAAATTAATAAAGTTTATAGCAATATATATACTGTATATACTATACTGTATATTATTTTAATAAAAAAAATTTTTTTTATTGTTAGATACTTTCTAAGTATAGAAATTCAATTACTAATCAAAAAATAAGAAATTTGATAGACGATGAAAATTTTTTACATGTCGATTAATATATTCAATATGGCAACCTATTAAGAAAGTTATTCACATACTCGAAGCCAATAATGCAATACTAGCCAATTGTTTGTTTATCTAATTAAGCTAGCTGTAGCAATTACAAATTTACTCGAAACAAATACTTTTAAAATTTCAGCAATTTATATTTTCAATCAACACTATAAAGAATTTTTACATTCTCTTTATATTCTTGTATATTACATATATCCGCAATATAGAGGTGAGTTCTAAAAAAAATAATTTTTATAAATTAGTAAAATTTTAATTTTTATATAATAATAATTACTATATTATTTTTTAATTTATTAGAAAAAGGTTTAAAAGATAATGGATTTCATCAAGCTGCTCTTACTTCAATTGAACTCTGGCAAAATTAAATCAGAAAGTGATGAATTAGTAGCGCAAATGTGTCGGTTTAAGGCAAATTTGCCACTATTTGATCTTCCTTACGTTCTGAATATAGACACCCCAAAAATTTGGTGGAGATCATTCAAGAACAAACCACGGTATTTGGCTGAACTTGCACTAAAAATTTTTCAATTAATCCTTACACAAGCTAATTGCAAAAGAAATTTCTCAGTATTAAAATAGATTTTAGAAGAACGCCGAACATACTTAGACTTAAATAGGTTAGAGAGAATTGCTAAAATTAGATCATATTATATGACTAATATTCAATATAAAATAAATATACATTATTGGGCAAAAATTTGTGAATAATAGCAATTTGGCTTAACCGGACAAATGATATTGGCTATTAAGTGCTGCGAAATGGCACTTGTCAGCTAATCATTTGTCCGATTAAGCCAAATTGCCATTATTCACAAATTTGCCCAATAATGGTGTTATCCGATAATTTATAATCATAATTGGTAGAGAGTCACTCACTGAGTTTGTTTTTTTTTAAATATTGGAAAAACATAATTACATCGTAAAACATGAAAAAAATAACAAAAAGAAAGTTTTTCATGATTATAAGAGTTTGTCGGATAAGTTGTCTTAATAAGGAGTTAACTGAAACTGATCTTCGAGATGCATGTAATTTATCTTCAATCAGCAGTATTATGAATTATAAAGATAATCAATTAGAAGTTAGTGAAACAAATGATGATAATATTACATTTAATAATTCTACATCACTATTAATTGAGGAAATTGTCGATTTGAGAATTGAAGAAGGTTTAGAATTTTCTAGTATAGAAACACCCCAAGCTATTTTTCTCTCTAATTTAGATTTAGATTATGATCCACTCGATGTACTAAATAGTTTTTTATAACATGAAAGGCAAGATAATAGCTTGTAGATACAATTAATAATAAATCTTGAATTACTGCTAGAGTTTACTACTATCGCATAATTAAATATATTAATTGTACAAAATTATAATTTCAAAATACAAAAGTAGGTTAAACTACTTATAACAGCTAAATAAATATTATTGTACTCTATTTTCTTGTATTTAATATGGTTAGTACAATATTATTTATTTTATCGTTCATTATTATATTATTTTAAAACATTAATATAAATTATTTTTTAGAGACTTCTTATATGAACAAAAAATGATAATTAATCATATATATATCTAATGCACAAAGGCTTTAAATAGTAATTAACCAGATATATTAATAAAAAATATACTTTGTATAAAAATTAGCATATTTAGTATTGGAAAACCAATATTATAGTAAATGCTTATTGTAATGCTTAAGGTTATATTAAAATTTTAGATTAATTTTTTTATTTACTATTAAAGATATTCTCAAATGTTTTTCTTGATAAATTTATTAAACAGAGCTATAGTTCTAGGATTACGCTAATTATGTGTATGCAAATTTTAAGCTATAATAGTTTAAAATCACTTCTATTAGTTAATTACTGAATAAAATTGTGGCCAAATATATTTATCTAAGATGTCTTGAAACTTTAAAATTTCTGTTAATTCAAAAACAAATAATATAACTATATTGATATATAGTGTGATCTAAATATATATATACTTATATACCAGGCTATTAAGTTTTTTAATCAAGTTAATATGACTATAAATTTGATTGAAGTTTACTAGCTTTAGCTCTAACTTTGTATAAATTAATATTAGACCTTATACTTCATTGTTGGCTATAGATTTAAATAGATAAGATTATAGATTAGTAAATTAAAATTATTTAATATAAATAAGAATTCTTGTTAATTTAAAAAAGAATATAAGAAGAGGTGTGGTGACTTAGTGTAGTGGTCTAGTCGTCACCCTCTCCAAGTGGCAGGTCTAGAGTTCGAATCCCATGGACAATGATATTTGAAAAATAGGCTTGTATTCAGTTGACAGCTAATGCATATTGGTTGGATCTAATCTGTAACTTCGGTTATATTATCTAGTAATAGAAGCAATAACACAATAAATCCGAGAAACCGGCATAACTGAAAACCTATTTGAAAAGTCCCGAGTTAGAAGTAACAATGATCTTCGATAGTATTACAAGAAGGCTAAATTCAAACTGAGGCCCGAGATCGGAGAACCGAACGACCAGGTCCTAATGGCAGAGAACACACTAGCTGAACCGCTAGGTTCTGTCGCACTGGAGAAAAAGGACATATGCTCCGAAAGTATGTACCAAGGGGAGAGCGTCCTTCAGATACCTAAAGCCTAGGCAGACTGTCCCTTCCGGGTTGCTAGCTGGAAGTAAAAAAGAGATCGATAAAGAATCCAGGTAAGAAGATGGTTCAAATGCAGATATCAGGGTTGTTGGGAACCTAATAAGGGCGGAAGTAGGTAATCACAGAGGTTTAATAGTCAGCCCTGACCCCAAGTACATGGGTAGAGCCGTGGCATAGATTATCAAAGTCTAGATAAAGAACACATGTGTGGGATATGTGATATCTAGCAAAATGGAAATATCCTGCTATCCAATGATCTGGAGGCACCCAGAGTCGGGGTAAGCAAACTTCACGGAATGTGAGGACCAATGATAAGGTAAATAGGGTTAATACGACTATACTGGACTATAAGGTTTGGTACGTTTTACTTAAGGTGGTTCTAGAAGTTCAGGAACTGAAACCCGCAGGGAGAGGAACCTGGGATATCTGTGGTAGGGAATGACTAATTAGGAAAGTTGTGGCTTGAGATACAGATCGGGTTTCGGCAGTACCTTAAAAGATAGCTTGAGATATGAACTCGGTAATAGCAGCATAACAGGTACTAGTTAGGAATTTGTAACCAATGATGTACTGAAAATCTTGTAAAAATAATGTATATTTGTATACATTCCACTAAAATGAGTAATAAAGAGGCAGCGTCATTAAAAAAAAAAAAAAAAAAAAAAATATAAGCAAGATTAGATTGGCGGTCTACTACATCACTACATACGTACGTATGTATATACATCACCTGCATTAGCTATATTGTCTATATCATACATATTATCTATACCATTTAGCATCAGCAAAAATATATATATGTAAACTTTCGTAAGTTTTTACGGTGTGTAAGAAAATCGTAAACTTACGTAAAATTCAGCGTAAAACTACGTAAATCTTATGGTGCATAAGAAAATCGTAAATTTACGTAAAAATTTTACGTTGGTTTATGTAAATCTTACGCACCATAAAAACTTACGAAAATTTACGAAAGTATATAAAAATTTATAAATCCTAAAATTTAAATCTCAAGAAAAATAAAACTATTTATAAAACTTTTAAAGATATATAAACTATTTTTTATAACTTCACGAACTTACAAAAGTTTACAAAAGATTTAAATTTAAGGGTTTTTCTAGGCATCTCTGGCCAGAGATATATAACTTATGTATCTCTG